CTGAATTTAACAACTTGCTCAGTTCTATCAGAGAACCAAGCAAGTCTGTTGGGAAACAAGGTGATCCGGATTGTCATAGAATCGCCCAATCCCTTCCTTTTTTATTTTTTATTTCTCAAAATTGAAATTATTATTTAATTATTCTTTTGCATTGATTCTTATATTGGAGAGCCATTCCGATTACCATTATGGATCACCGGTTTGTCAAACCAAACTAGATTTTGGAAGGCCAGTTTTGTCGAGCTCATCCAATAGTTAAAACACGAGATTCAAATGCCAAAATATTTTAGGATTGTCTATAAAGAGAATTGTCTCAATTCAATTCTTGGTCTAGTAATTCCTGTTTGACGAAACGTACATGTTTTTTCTTCCTTTTATATAAGAAAAATTGTTTCAGGCGAGCTGGACCGCATTTCTACATATGCAGTCCAAAAAGTGTGAAGCCCAAAAAGTGTGAAGCATCCATCTTAAAGATAGATGCAAGTAGGTGCTCTATCTAAAAACAATGAAAACTAATGGTCCAAATGTTTTCTTACTAGAATTGTTATTTTTAGTTTTTGAAATTTATTTATTTATTTCATATTTATGATCTCCATGTTAGTGATTACATGTCTTAAAAATTAGGTCCTAAAATCCATCTCAAAATAGATTTATTAGGAGGCCCGCATTTCTACATATGTGGGCTTGCCCGCATAAAAACCAGGTCCTTTATATAAATGTGTGGTTTATAGAAGGTTGAGGCCATAAATGATCAAAATAAGGTGCACCTCAAATATTGTTGAAAGATGTTGTTTTAGTACTGAAAATCTTTGTTATGGCCTGAAAATTTATTTTCATATCAATAAAAGCTGAGATGTATTGTATAGATGGCTTTATACCTTAATGGCTGGAATTGTAGAGATTTTATGTTAAACAGTAATATTGTATACAATTTAAAATTTTAATTTGAGTTTTTCTCAATTGTTTTGTTCTTTTATCTTATCTAAAATTTGAGTTGTATGTACACATATTAACGTACATTATTATAATAATAATTGGATATAGTTTGTTGAAAAAACACTTTATTGCATTCTTTTTTAAGTAATTGTACATTGAATTCTATTTGGTTTAATGTGGAAATAAGTGGCTTAAGAGGTAAGTTATTGAGAGTCAATAGCTTCATGCATGTAGCCATATTCATATTCTTTTATAGATACACAGAGGAACAGATGCACACAGAATCATGCACACACACTCACTCTCTAGGCGAACTCGAAGACATTTTCAAAATTTTAGGTGTTTGGGTGTGAAGAAAGTGTATAGTATGGTCCATAGGATCACCATACACCAACCCCTAAGTAGACATACTTTTTGGATGTTAAGATTTGGAATAACATGTTTATGTTGTGATAAGATTTTTAGTTTTTATTTATTTATTGTTATAAAGGCCTTTGAAGGGCCTTTTGACAGGACATCCGTAGATAGTTTGTGATGCGAAATTAAAATCATAAAAAGCTGGAAATTTAGCTACTAAGTAACTCCATTCAATACATTTATCGAAGAGAAAAATATATTAGGGCATAAGAGGAAATTGAAGAGGTAACTTAATTTAATGAATTTTTATTAATATCTTATTGTTATTATACTGTTTAGTTTTTTTATTGATAGGTTGTGTAATTTGCGTTGACTTGTGTATTTAAATTGTTTTTCTTTTTATTATCTAAGTGGGTATAGTAAAGAGAAATCAATAATTATTTTTCATAAACGTTGTTTAGTTTTAAAATTAATATTTTAACAATTTTATTATCATTTTTTATGATTGATTTGGTATTTGATGAATTAATCATTGTGTGCTCTATCTATATTTATTATTTATTATCATTGCATATAGAATTAAAGTTTTATTTCTTTAGAAGCATAATGAAATTAATACAAGTGCATTCTACAAGGGGTTAGTATTAGAAATTGGTTTCGCTCTTGCGGATGCAGCTTCGTTTTAACACTTTGACTGGGACTTGTGTATACATTGTAAATTTTTATTTTGGTATTATTTAGTAAAAACACTATAAGTAAATTTTTTAGGATAGTTAGTGTAAGAAATTGGTCCCGCTCTTGCCGACGTAGCTACGTTAACACTTTGATTTGTACTTGTGTATACATTATAAATTTTTATTTTGCTATTATTATTCACTAAAGTATTTTAATTTTAAAATTTAAAAAAATATGTAATCATATAATTTAAAAAGTTAAAAAAATATGATATACATATAAAATGAAGCCATAGCCCAACTAAAAAAACAAATCAAAGCCGAACCACTGCAACAAAGCTAACGTCTTTCTTGCAGTAAAAATTCAATTCTTAATAAATAATTAAATAGATACATTAAAGTTCCTTCCACTCGTTGCTCGTATTACTACCAGAATTAAAGAAAATGGGACGATCGGTTAGCGATGAAAGTTGGCTCTTCATTTTATTTTATTTATTTATTTCTTGACCTTGGCTATAAAACTCAACATTTTTGAATTATAATTTTGCAAGTAATATGGTTTGAGTTGATTTTCTAAATTTTTTAATTACGTGCAAGTAATGTGATTTGATTGATTTGATTTTGTTTTTTAGTCCGTGTGTTTCCTGATATTCAAGCTCCCACATTGGCAAAAAAGCTCTCCTAGAATTGCCCTCAATTCAAATAGAAGGAATCAAAGAACTAGAATTCAGGCCGGAGCTCCACTAAAATTACCCTCAATTCAAATAGAAGGAATCAAAGAGCTAGAATTCAGGAGAGTTCAAATAGTAGGAATCAAAGAAACTGGTACTATGTGAACTCTTCATTTTTTTTATTGACATGCTTTAAAACTCAAAATTTTTGAATTACAATTTTAGAAGTGATGTGATTGAAGTATTACAATTTTAGAAGTGATGTGATTTGAGTTGATTTTCTTTTTCTATAAAATTTGACGTGGGTTGAGTTGATTTTCTCACTTATGTATATTTATATATTTATAAATGTCTTTATTTATATTATTTATTTTTTATAAATATATTTATTTCAATTTTAATGCAAACAAATACAATGACACCAAAACTAACCGTTCTCATGTAAACACCGCAAAAACTCAAATTTTATTTGTCGATAGATCGAAACAAAAAATACCAATTTACACTCGCCAGCGGCTCTTTCTATTACTGTCACTGATCTTTAACATTGATTCCAACCACACTGATTTACAAGCCTTTAATAAATTCCTCAACAAACTCAAAAAAACATAAACCGTAATTGAAAATTGCAGGAATACAGGGAATAGGTGTCCAAATACGAGTAAGAGATGGTTCTTTGTAGTGGAAACAATAAAATAAAAAAGAAAAGGAAAGAAATGAAAGAAACTAGAAAACATCAATAGAAAAATAAAAGAAAGAAGCTGGGAAACATCAATTGAAATTGAAAGGGGGATTGTCTACGAAGAAACTATTTAGTTTTAGAAAAAACTTATATAAGGGCGAGGCTCTAAACAACCAAATTAAGGCGCACCTCAAAAAATCACTAGAAGAGGTTGTTTCAATGTCCAAAAATGCTCAAATTGACCATCTCAACCTCAAGAAGAACATACATGACAAAAATGGATTTCGAGTATTGGAAATAGTGCATCTTATAATGCATTTTTTGAACGTCAATTTTTTAGATTTTCAAGTGCCTATAGATCTACTCGATTTACACTATTTTTAAGCTTTAAAATTTTTAACTAGATAAAAAAATAAACATCATCTTTTGACCCTATTTGATGGTGCACCTTACTTTGATGGTTTAGGGCTTGGGCCTTATACGAACCACACCATTTCTTTTTTGTACAAGGTCACATTCATTCTTGTCCTTTGAATTTTAAAATGGGTAGTTGTGAGAGTTTCATGGAGTAGACACAATTCCAACAAAATTCTTGGACTTTATGACTCAACCCAAGCCATCCACTTTGACATTTAATGAATGGGCATAGTTGTGAACTCAGTGTAATAAAGTTAAATAGACTCTTTGTAGACAATCCCATAGAAAGTACTT